AAAAAAAAAAAAGAAAGAACAAATTAAAGCAGCACCATGTTATTGACCTTTTCATTTCTGAATGCTAAGTGAAAGAGAAACCAGAGGACTGGACATCAGTAGGCAGGTATAAAAGGAGATGTCAACTGTGAAATAACAAAATATAATTTCCAAGCTTGGTCTGTGGTAGTGAATATGTCTTTTTCCCTTCTGCCACCTGTAGGTGGTCAGATACTTAATGCTCCAACAGTTTGCTATCCTCAGGATTTGTCTTTAAGTATTTTTTGTTTCAAATAAGAATTGTATTATATTTTATTTCTCAATAGATTCTTTTTTTCTCTCCTGATAGGTGGTATAACTCCTTGGGATCTGTTGATCTGCTTATCTTCCAGAAAAAATAATGGTCCTGGCTGCATCCAAATAGGTGACTTGCATCACCTCGAGTTATTCCAGAAGGTATTATATTGTTGTGTTATTCCCAGTGGGAATGAGAGGACAGAACAAGCCCAAACTTTCAGCACTCACTCATAAAAAGAAAAGTGTCTAACGTTTATTTTATACTGCATTGCATGGTTTAAAAGCAATAAAAAAGTTTTTTTAAGGTTTCCTATCTACTGAGAAATACTTGTCAGATACCAACATTTCATTCTTTATAACACATCCAGTGATCAAAAACAACTTCTCGTTTGGACGTAGTGTGTTATTTTGGATGTGTTTCAGTGTAAACACTGAAAATTGTTATAACTGAGTGAAGTTTTCCATTTCTCTTCTGTAGCTTGAACTTTTGCATTCATGGCCACCCTCAACCAGCATGTCAAGCAGCAAAAGCATCTACAAAAGTCAAGGGAAATTTAAGCAATTTGCCCCATTGGAAAAGATAATTTAGAAATGGGGAGAAACAACTTGCCAAGGAGTGTGATATTTCAGAATAATAGCATAGGCAGAGGATAAATCTGGAGTAATTTAGGCTTCACATGTTATATCACTGTGGTGTTTCATCTAATGTACTTGCTCCTTTGTAAACATAGTTTAGGCACCTCTCCAAACAGTGACAGTGCTCCTAAAATTGTTAATGTGTGAGCTAGACTGGTGTCCAGCCCTCCAGGGCCCTCATGGGAGTTCCTTGCTCTGATACTGCAACCTGCTTACTCACAGTCCCAGATGTCAGTGGTGCCAGTATTTCTTGTTATTTTCAGGATTGTGGTTTTTTGATTGGTTTGGTTTGGCTTTTTTTGTTTGTTTGTTTTTTTCACTTGAGTGTGTTTTGGGCATAGTTTATGTTACATATATATGTGCAAAGGTCTAAATAAACACCTGACTTGTTGGTGAAAATATGTGAATGACAAACTAAGGGCTTTCTTTGAAAAAATGTGTGCAAACCACAGATAAAGTTTGGCTTGTGTTTCAAGTACAATGGCGCAGATAATAGTGACAAGACCCAAATGTATAGACTCTGACCTGAGGGAGTAGGAAAAATAGAGTTGCTTTTAAAAGGTATTTAATTGAGGTTTGAAATTCATGACAATGCAGAAAACTACTGTGTGTCCATACAAATCAGAGCTGGGAGCATGTACAGTGGTGGGATTCCCTGGGACAGGATGCCTTTTCTAAGTGAAGTTTTTATAACAGCTCCAGTTTACAAAAATAGACATGCTTTGGATTCAGATCTTGGATCATAAAACATCTCGGGTTTCTGCAAGATGCTTTTTTGCTTTTTCTACACATATTATTATACCTGAGCCTCTAATACTGGGCAATATAGAATCGTGAAATGGTTTCAGTTGGAACAGACCTTAAAGATCATCTAGTTCAAACTCCCCTGCAAGGGCAGGGACACCTTCCACTATATCAGGTTGCTCAGGGCCCCATCCAAGCTGGCCCTGAACCCTCACAGGTATGGGGCTTCCACAGCTCCCCTGGGCAACCTGTTCCAGTGTCTCACCACCCTCATACTAAAGAATTTCTTCCTAATGTCTAACCTAAATCTCCCCTTTTCCAGTTTTTGATCCATCACCTCTTGTTCCCTCACTACAAGCCTTTGTAAATAGTCTCTCCCCAGCTTTCCTATGGGCGCCCTTCAGATACTGCAAGGCTGCTATGATCATCCTTGTGGCCCTTCTCTGGACTTTCCCCAAGGGCTCCACCTCCTTCTTATTTTGGGGGCTCCAGAATCAGACACAGTACTCCAGGTGGAGTCTCATGAGAGCCTAGTAAAGGGGGAATATAATAATTCTTACAGCACTCTACAGTGTCCAGAAGTTTCATGCCTGAGTAACCAAGACAAGATGATCAAAGGAATTGTCCAAGTTCCCTCAGGAAGTCTGCAGCACTGCAAGGACTTAAACCAGATGGCCCACATCTCCAGATAACTTTAAATATTGGACTAACATTACTCGTTCCTGGCATGCCCATAGCACAGTGCAGTACCCTTCTTTGTTGTAGAGCCTGGTTTAGCTATGTTTGCTTACCACTCTTCCCAAGTACAGCAGTTCAAGAAGCATTGGCTATTTCTATGCAGGGAGAGACAGTGATTGATAACTGGCAGAGCAGACAAGCTGCAGAAACTGAAAAGGGGGCAGGGAAGAGGTGAAAACTCAGCAGCCAGGAGGAGAGCTAAAAGTTTTAAATTTTGTTTTTTGATGGCCATGGAGGAAGAGCCCAAAATTTAACTTCATTATCCCACATTGAAGGAATGTCAAAGTTGTAAATCCCTTTTGACACTGACAGGAGTTTTGTACATGAGGTGTCTCTGATAACTTTAACACAAACTCATTAATGGCTGGATCAAAAATAGCACTTATCAGAATGAAACCATTAAAGCTCCTGTTTTTGCACACAGGTAAATGTACTTCCAGAAATCCAGCAATTCCTTTGCAGAAAAGAGGGATTATGCCAGATAACAAGAGCCTTTCCAGGTAACCTAATTTTTTCAAATCTGCATATGTGATGATGATCTTTTAAGTGTTGTCACTGGAAGTCTCTGAAAAGAGAATGTCAGGCTTCCCCTTTTTTTTTTTTTTAATTCATGAATTCATGCACGGGAGGGAGAGGTGAGGAGGGGGGAATAGGCCAGGGAGAAACAAGATTGATAATCCATTTCAGACACAACTCAAATGCAGGTTACAGTTATGCAGGATCTTTTTAGGTAAAGTTCTTGCATTGTTTAGCCATTACACACTGCAGAAATAATTTGGCTATAAGTGTCTTATTTTTGGGCTGTTTTATGTTAATGCAGTGTATTGGTGTTTACACTTCAAAGCCCTGTGTTCGGTGTAATATGTTTGTTCAGCTTTACAAAAATGTTGTGGCATGGAGAAGGAGTAGGAGTCAGAGTTTGGTTCCTATCCAGACATAGTTTACTGATAAAAAGCCTTTGTGTATTACGATCATCAACCAGAAAAGTTTAAAGGTTATGGGCGAGTTGCCAGAAAATTCTACTTTACTATAGCTGAAATTCAGCTTTGAATAGAAACTGGAAAAAACTGTTATGGACCGTATTAGGTCTACTGAAACTATAGAGGGACACATTATGATCTCAGTTACACTACTGAATATCCCGCACCAGTGCTATTTTGGATTTATGACCTATCTTCACTAGATAAGCTTTGCTTATGAGAAAATTTGTCCTTTAATTTTTTCACAACCCTCTAACAGCCAACCCAGAGTTTATTCCATTAATATTTACCCTTGTTTGCAGACAAATATACAAGATTGATCAAGCAGATTTCCTTTTTCTCCTCTCCTCTTCTCTCCCTCACTTTATCCTAAATTATATGTTTAAAATGGGCGTGTTGAATGACCCTCTGCAGTTACTACTACCCAATTATTTCTCACCAGTAACTGCAAATGGAGCCTAAACAAGTAGCTTAGATTAAATACCTGACATTTGAATGCCAAACTAAAGTTGAGGTTAGGTGTTTCCTAACTTAAGCATACTCTATTTTGCCTTTTAATTTTTGTACTGTTTCATTTAAAGATTAATCAATATTTAAAACCTATGTGAAGTGTTTCCCTTAAAGAACTTTATGTTGAGATTCAGTTTAAATTGGACATCTCCATTTTCCAAGTGCCATACATTGTGAAAACTGATCATAAGTATGCAGGATAACGAGTATCTATCCAGGTCCCATGAGAGTCCTTTATAATAAAGTCATATTACACAGATAAATGATATATGCTGTTTTGGTTAGTTCCCTTACACTGGAAAGTGAATTAGAAAGTATTTTGTTACAACATCAGTATCAGAAAAATACTGGCCAGATTTCTAATAATGTCAAGGTCTTCAGGAATAGGTAGGTCCTACTCATGCTGTAACAGATTGCCTTTAAAAAACACTGATTTGCCCTGGTACTTGAAGAGAAAACAATTGCAATGTTTTTATTATTTTGCTACTGCAAAACCACAAGCACAAGAGATACTCACCACACACAGAGCTTTCCCCTTAAAATATGCACATTTTTACTGGTGTCCATAAACTGTGATACAAGCCCCTGTGTGTATATAGTCTCTTAAGATGTCCGGTGTTTTCTCTTCCCCTGGGAATGACTATTTACAAATTATATTATTAGTTCTTTCCTGACAAAGAGAAAAGCCTTTCTGACTGATGCTGAAATCCCATGGAAAACAAGGTAGTATGAGTGCTTGGCAGCAGGGGTCTGAGTCCTACCCACCCGGTAAGGCAGGATTATTCTTGCAGTCAGCTGAAGGACTGTCAGATAGAAAAAGGTCCTCTGCTCAGTTACCAGTAAAAAAGATTTTGAACCTAAATTAGCTGCAGTGTTTTAAAGTAAAAATAAATCCATCTTCTAAATCTAAGTGTCTCCACATCAGCATGTGGCCTAGGGACTGAGGTAGCTGTTTCAACACAAGGGTCTCATACCACTTGAGACACTCTGGGGAATCCAGGACACCCAGCAGGCTGCGTAGATTTGGCATGGAACTTTGGCATGGTCCTTCTGGTCCAGCAGCTGGAGCTCAGAGGGACATCCTATGGTGTCCTGGATGTCAATAGATGTCTATGTATGGACACCTGAATTTAATACTTGGTGTACAGGCTCTCAAAATTAACATAAGTACAGTTTAGAGTGAGAAAGCCCAAACATATATTTAAGTCCAGAATAATTTAGGATAACCCAAGTTGCTCTACACTTAGTCTATAGATTACACTGATATCCATTGACAGGAATTGCATCTTAGACTCTGACACACAGAGAGTCTTTTTTGTATAGAGCAGACCTCCCATTCAGTGTTACTGGATCATCCTCCCCTTTCATTCATCTGATAAAACCATCTTTTTCCACTTCTTTCTTTTGCTTGCATCCCTGTCAGAGCTTTCTTCCCAACAACAGTGAAGTTGCCAATAACTAGGATTTGCAGGATCCTCAGTTTTAAAATTGTTTGTATAAAGAATGGTTTTCATCAGTATTTCCTCCACAGATGAGTTTGTCTCCTTTAAAATCAGTCATGTACTTTCACTCATGTGTTTGAGTCAACAGATCTCTGCGATTCCTGTTGAAGAGGATCAGTTGGTTTGTTATTACTGCATTTGTCATTTAGTCAGCCCCCAAGGAGCTGAGCAATTTCCTGTAAAAGTGAAAACACAAAGTTGCTGCTCTAAGAATTATGTGATCTAATTAAAGACACACTAAGCAGTAGGAAGAAATATCAGACAGCAAGGCTGAGAGGATGGGATTAGTGGGTTTACTTTGGGTATGGCAGTATAGAACTTAATAAGCAGTGGGTACAAGGGTAAAGGTTATTAAATAAAACCCCTGCAACTCCTAAGCTGCTAGGTTTTGTATGTAAGAGAGCATGCCCCTTCTTATATCCCTATTGTATCAATATGGGAAATAACATGAGTTGTAGAAAGTATCAGACCCATGCTTCTTTCTTTGCTTTTCTTTTTTTTTTTTTTTTAAATGGAAAATCTTGTTACTCTGAAAATTCAGATTGGTTCTATCTGTATGGGGGTGTGTGTGTGACTATACACATAGCAGTAATGACTGTTTTTTAGGAGACAGAAGACAAACTGGGAAGAGGAAAAAAAAGCAACTTAGGAAAGACAGACTGGAGAAGAATTTAGAGGAGTAAAAAGACCAAAAAAAAAAAGTGATGTGTGTGGATAAATTGGATTGAGTAAGAGAAGGAAAGAGATTAAAGCAGTTGCTGGAGGATAGGCACATGTGGGAGTGGGTTTGTGTTGAGGCATAAAAACGGTAATGAGTGATAAAATTCAATATGGAAGACATTGGTAAGTGCTTGCTTCTCAGTCTGAGAAGACTGGTTTCACTCCTGCTTTTGCAGGGCATTTATCCCAGTTTTTAATCAACTACGTGATGTCTGCTTGCAGGGGCTCAGGCCATGAGGAGATTCTGCCATGGCTACGGAATGACTAGGGAAGGCTCCTAGCATTTATTACTTAGGTCAGAAAAAGCTGCAGCTGTTGCAGGGATCTGTGAATGAAATCTTCCTGCAAACAACCCAAACCTAGAAGCTCTCTGACTCTGGAGAATGACTGGCAAAGAGATTTTGAGTCCTCATATTCAGTATCCCACCACTGGTGGGCTGAGAACTGGGCTTTGCTGCCTCCTGGGACTACTCTTTGCTGTGAGGTGGAGAGAACTCACCACACTCATGTGGACACTCACCACTCAATGTGGACACTGGTCCACAATGTAAGAAGAATTGCCCAGCTCAGTTTAGGGCACAGGAGAGGCAACCTGATGTGGACACAACAAATACTCTCTTTGGCAGGTTTTGCCTGATAAATTAGTGGGGATATTTATAGTGTTGCCTCCCTGATTTTCCTGTTCAAAATCCAGACTAATCTGTCTTTCCACATAAACATTTGTCCTACTTCATCACTTCCAAGGCCCAGCCTGTGCCATGGATAGCCGTTTCCTAAACCCATCCACATCACCAATTTTTTCAAAGTAATAGTTTTGCTATAAGCCTTACTTCTGTGTTTCTACCAGCCTTGCAAGCTCATTTGGTCACTTGCAGGGCTGGCCAACAGCATTAATCACACAGAAGGTCTTGGGATAGGCACAACCCTGATGAAACTGAGTGGGAAGGTGAGCCAAGATAGTCCAGCTGTGTGACTGTGCTCTCACTACGTGATATGTTTACTATCTGGTGCTAACCCCAAGCCTAGCAAATCTTCCCTGCCTCTCTCCAGTGTCCCTGGGTTACCTTGAAGACAGCAGGAAGGGTGATGAGGGAAGGAGAGGAAGCAAGGCCCAATGGAGCCACCTAAGTACGAGAGAAATTATAAAATAACTGTTGCAATAATTCAACATCTCTATGACAGGAACTTGCTTCTTTGTAGGGGGATGCACTGTTTTCCAAGCATCTGCCAAAACTGAGAAGCAAAAAACATAGTAAATGATTAATCTAAACTGAAGCCGATGTTTTTAAAAGGGGAAAAAGAACAACATTTCAATATTTCAAATATTTCAAATGCTGCCCTCATTTTGTGTTTGTAACTCTGAAACTTCCCAGGTTCTTTTATGAATGAATTTCAGAGCATTCTAACCCAGAGTTTATATTCCTTTCCCTTTACTATCAACTTTTATTCTATAGTAAACGTATGTTAGATAGTCAGCTTAAATTCCTAGAAATTACTAATAATGTGAAGTTTCTCCATTCTAAATATTCAGGTTGGGTTTCTTTGAGGTTAATTGTGTTGCAGAGGGAGAGATCACTGCAGTATTTTTATATGATTTTTTTTTAAGGAAAGATAGATCAACAGTTGGCAGTGGATGGGATATTGAGCCTGCAGTAATGTGATCATCACAAATGAAGCTTATAACACACGTCAAAACCATCCTAGGAGTGTTAGTATCAAGCAATAAATCATATTGCTGTCAAAAAAATTGAAATTTTGCCAGGACTTCACTGTGGGCCAGGTTGCACC